TATATATATATATATATATATATATATATCTTGTAGTATAAAATTATTTGTGTTCGACTTACCTGACAAGCACCTTACTGCTTCTTTCTAAGAACAGGCGCACAATACACACAATATAGAGAAATATTTTAACATATAATATAATACAAATAAAAATGTGAGAAAACGTATGAAACCCAAAAATTTCCAAATATAAAATTTGCTAGTCTTTGAAGCTTCCGCATACTATAAAAAAGGTACAAAATTATTTGCTTGCGTTTATAAATTCGAACGAAATATATCAATAGCGAATTGGAGTATATCAATGAATTATTTTTTCATTTCTTTTTTCTTTACTATAGGTCATTGATGCAGAAAAGCGGCCATTGCAAAGTATATACCTGGAATTTATTACATCAACATATGAAAAAACGTAATAAATATTATAAATATAGAATATAAAGTACAAAGTAAAATCGATCAACTTGCTTTCGTATTTATTATTACACGCTGCATGGATTCATGCAATGACGTAGTGTCCTCGGTTCTCCTTCACAATTGAACAATCTTGAAGACATAATAGTAATAATAATAAAATTAATAATAATGATAGTAATAATGATAATAATAATCATTATACTTATGACAATAATAATATTTATATATATATATTCTTTTTTTTTCGTTATGTACATACGACCTATAGATCATCGACAACGGAAACCAAGGTTGTACATATTTATCAGCCATAATCATCAATCGTTGATTAATCACGAATAGAATAGGATTCGTATTGATATTTTGTATACAGGCACAGAGAGAGACAGAGAAAGAAACACGAATAAATTCGCGAGTCATCGAATAAGCCTATAATTTAATCGTCATCAGAAATGTTTCACTTAGATCGATGAACAAAATTGTTATTTTGATTCGTTTAAATCCCGATCGAAATATTCGGATCGCGATTCATGGGCAGAAGCTTTCTTTTCAACTATAATTTTTTTTATATTTACAACATATATATATATATATAATATGTATACGCTTAACTGATCTAATAGGATTATTGTAACAAGTTACCAAAAAATATCTACACAGTAAAAATATAGATATATATATATATATGTATATACATATATAAACGCACATACACAGTATGTCGCTCGCTCGCGCTCGCGCACGCGTACGTGCATATTCGTATCTGCTTCTTTCTTCCTCCCTTTCTTTCTTTCTTTTTTTTCTTTCTTTAATTCTTTTGTTCCTTTCTTTCTATCTTCTTCTTCTCTCCCATCATTCTTTGATACAACAGTTTAGACTTTCTCTATAGTTATCCTGACTCCCTTCCATTCACTCAAGAAGCGTACATATACATATATACCATCTTTTGTCTTTTTCTTTTTACATTTACCCACTTATCATGTGTGCGTGTAACATCATGTATCCCCTCACCCGAGTTTGCGTACGTATAGACGCATCTACGAACACGTGCATCATGGAGCACATTATAACGCGCGTAAATACGTGATACACTCGATGAATCGTTTACTTTTTTCTGTTTGGCTGATTCGATTGCGCTTATTAATATCTTTCTGGCAGATCGTGACGCGGTTACTCTACTGCTCTAACTTGGACTGACATCGCTTTCTCCTCATAATATCAGAGACTCGTGGTATCTTTAGTCTATGCAAGTTTCGTTCATGTATTATCAGTATTTATCTGTACATATGTATTAGTTTCCAAGCATGTCCGCCCAAAAAAGAACAACGACGAGATATTTTGCAAACGTATTTAGATATAATAGGCATAGTTCACACGTACGATAATCAGCGTTTAAGATTTCTGTTGACAATTACACGCTACGTGGTCTCTATGTAATAAATCGTTTCAATGGCCCGTGTATACCTATGCACACGTCCAAAAATATATATATATGCCTGAACGATTCGTTTTGTCTTTTTTTTTCTTTTTTTTCTCTTTTTTCTTGTTGTTTTTCCAGTTTAATAACATCGTCGAGAATATTGCGTCACTTAAAAGTATCGCTAAGAACCACATTTAATCTTATTAAAATATATATGTATATTCGATACTCGCATCTATACGAGTGTTTTAATCCCCTACGGTCCATTGTATGTCATTACTATCAATTTCTCAATCGTAGTTTTAGAAAGCACCACATTTGGTAAAACGACTTAGAGAACCGGAAGATTCTATAAATTTCATTTAAATAAAGCAGACCATAGAGGGTTAAGGAGAAATATCAATGGCTGCAATGGGCACGTTATGCGAATCGTTTCACGAATATGTCTCGTTCCACGATCGTAAACTAGCACAACGACAACTCATGTCTTTTCTTTTTTTTCGTTTATCATCACAGACGGAAAGAGACTTAATTATATAAGGGCCAATAAATTCTATTCAATTCATCCCACTCTGACTATTCTTTTTTCGCAAAATGTCTTTTTTCTCTCTTTTGTTCTTCTTCTTCTCGTCGGTCGACCGTCAAATTCGTTCGACCGCGCGCGCATCGAAACGGAAAAAGAGTTATGAAACGAGAAACAGGATCATCGGCCATACGTGTGGTTGTTCGCATCCACTTCGAAAGATGTTACGCACTACGAACGTGCGTTACTGGAACGCTGACAATTCAGGCAACGGATAACGAGATCTTTGCACGAGCATTAACAATAAATCGCGTGTGCAGAAGACAACAAATCGCCGGCAATATCACTTAAACTATTCACAGACTTCACAAGTTTAACGCTTTCAATCACGACGAAGAATAATTTCCTATCACTCTTCCATCGTGCAATTATTTTCTCTGCCTTTATACAGATAATTGAGATTCGTTAAAACGTTCTTCGTTTACGTCCCTACATGTGTCAGTAGAGATTTCAAAGCGTTTTTGTGCTATCTATATCTCGGAGGAAAACTACGATAAAGCCGAAGAATCCTCCAACGAATAGAGGGGAGCAAGAATCGTGAGGAATTATTGTTGCGAGTTTACGAGATGCCAGAAAAGCAGGAACAGAATGAAATCATACAAAGAACGAATTATTAGAAAACACCTTTGTTAGACTTCATTTTGTTACAATTATTATTATTCAGAGATTCATTAGTGACAACATAAACTTTCTTTGCACGATTCGACATCTCAATATCTTCACATATCCGTGACAACATCTGGTGTATGTAAACTGTAAAGACGACCTTATTCCGAGAAATCACGAATTTTATTGACATACAGAATAACACTTGGCTTCCAATCATATTGACCGTAGGCAAGAAATTTCACCGATCTCGAACGGGAACACATTGCGACGCCAACGCGTCGATCAAGACGCTGAAAATCATAGCTTAAAAAATAGAGCAAGAACGTTCGAAAACTATTCTAAATACTGTTCCGGTTATGCGCGTATTCTATTGTCGCCACAAAAGAAATTATATTCTCTGCCACGCTACCTCGAAGAGTATTATATTTTCCAACTGTTCTCTTTGTACTTGGTCCCACGAAATTGCACGATTATTGGTTGAATTTTAAAACTATGCCAATCATCCACTAATTGTTTCTACGATAAAAATGCTCGTTTAAAAAGGGGCTCCAATTTCGAGGGAAAGTTCTACAACACGGAAAACTAGAATATAGAAAACGAACGGCAATTGACCGATTAACGAGTTCGAAAATTGCGATTTATTCGGTTGACTTTCATCGGAATAAGGCATGCCGCTATGCATGTAAACATAAAGAAGTTGGTTGTTTTTGAAGTCGAAAGATTAGCCAAAGGAAGGTCTCGCGGCAAACAAAACTTCCATATGTTTTTCTCTTGTACCTTCTTTTTTTGCTATTTTATTGAAGTGACGCTTTTTTTCTCTTTTATCAAGTTTTCCAATGCGAGTCGTTGTTTAAAGGAGTAGGAGTTTATAAAACAAATCGCCTGTTGCTTGTTAATGCTACGTTCAACAAGACAGTTTCGCATTTACCGCGCTTGACCGGATTATTGTAGCGTAACTTCTTTCCTTCTTTTTTCTTTTTTCTTTTTACATCTAAGTATTTCACATTCGGAGTATCTGAAAATAGAGATATCTAGCATTTTATTTTATACACTAATTTGTTGGTAACTCTCGAATACCTCCCTCTACGTGAATTCATCATGAGACTAAATATCTCGATCTATCGTTTATCTAGCCTCTTACAATGTATGTATAAGTCGTATCAAAATCAAGAAAAAAAAAATAGGTTTTGCGATTGGACGATAACGAACATGACGGTACAAGCATCTGTTTTCACTATCGTTCATGTTTTACAGTTTTTTGTTTCCTTGTTGCTGTCAGTTTTGCTTTTTTTTAAGGAAGTGAACACCGCAAGTTTTCGTCAAGTCTCAAAAGAGCAAATATACTCGTCTACAATGACAAGAACTTGCACACACATCTCTCGCACCACTCTCTAGTAAAGCTTTATCTTCACATTTTTGTAAGCCTAGATACGTATACATATATGTTTATATATATACAAATTACAACAAAGTAACTCCGTTGTTTGACAGCCTCTATCGCGAAATCAAAGACAGACATTAACTGTCCCGATTAGGGTGCTTGGCAAGGAATCGTCGAGGCCAGGGTAAAGGCCAGTCGTATTGTCGTGGCACCGTGCCGCCCACGTTTTTCTCGAAATATTTAAAAATAGGGAACCACCAGAGTCGGGCCAAAAAGTTGTTTGGTTCATATTGCTGTAAATACATTTCAATATGTTCTTCAGTTTTCAGAATACATTATCTTTGTCTCTTTCTTTTCTTTACTTTTTTTTCTAACATAAAAGTAGAGAGAATTCAACAAAACAATACAACTTACCTTAAGATGCGAATTATTAGCTAACGTATGATAGATATACCATAAGCGTGTAGTTACATAGTATGCTATGAGGACGTCCACGGTATAATGTCCGTGAGCCACCAAGACCATAATTACCCCAACAAAAACAGTAATGCCCGCAAGCCAATGAATTGGTTGACACCTTCTTGGAGAATCTGCATTTTTAAACATTCTTCTAGATTCTAGATAATACTTCTTCATACTTCTTCTTTTTCTATATAAATACCTAGCACATTTTAACAAAACATAAATGTCTCCATAACGTAGAGAAAATACTTACACTCCTTTATAATCAGGTAACTAAGTACAAGCACGACTGTATGACCGCTGTAAATGTAGTCCCCGCAGTAAGTGTGCTTGCCATTTATAGACAAGCCGAAGCCAGAAATGAGCTGCAAAACCCTTTTTATAACGAGGAGCGGACTCGTATTGTTTGCTTTAGGACTGCAGAAATACGTTTTGCTGGCGACAGGCAGTACCGTCACGTACATTGTGATACTCCTCATCATGTACAACAGTCCCATCAAGAGAAATATTCGCCTAACAACGATAAACCTAGAAGAATCAACATAAAATTTTGTAAAATAAAAATAATTTTAAATATTGCCTACAATGACATCCAAAGATTCGAAAATTTAATGGTATCTTTTTAGCTTAATTTAAGATAAAATGAAATTAAGAAAATGAAATAGATCTTGGAAATTTGAGATAAAGCTAAAAGGATAACCATCTAAAAACTGTTGCAGTATATTGATACTAGAATTACTTGTGTCCTATTTCTGACCCAAGCCTGTCGAGCAAAAACTTTAATTTACACGTATCGGTTTCATTGATGTTCGTGTACAATACGTACCTATGTTTATGAAAAATAATAAAAACCATCGCTGAGTTGGACATTATCATAATTAAAACTTCCGACACGTTAAGGGCCCAATCCTGAGCGGCGACATTGTCCAACACTACATCCGGGAGCGGCCCGTATGTATTTCGATCAGGGACTCGTTCGTGGACCATTGCAAGGGACGCAGTAGTCAATATGAAGTTCACGACCATGAACAGAAATGCTGTAACACCAATTACATTTTCATTAGAACAACAAATATCAAATTTCTAAATAAACAAGCGAATTGAAGAAGAAACCTTATCAGCGATAACTTGAGATCAATTGAAGTGTGAATTATTCATTCTAAAAATTTATAGTAACTTTGAAAGCACAATAAAATAACTTTGAACGTTCTTAACCTATAATTCATCAGACTTACTTTCAAAAAACAAATATTATATCTCAGAAATAGAAAAATATAAGGATTGTATTTAAAACTAAGGAAATTTTACTCTAATTTTACCACGTGAACATGAATCATAAAAACAATTTTATAATTTGCTTATATCATAATACTTATCATATCAATATGTACATAGGTTTTAGTAGCATATGTATATTTTTTCAAATTATTTTCCAGATAATCCAATCATCTATCGATGACAATTCGATCATTGCCTTTAATCATTGACGTAACTAATACAAAACAACATTCCAGAAAACTATATAATAGTGCATCGTTTAGCTTCCAAACAATAGTAGCCAACATGTATATCAGTCGGTTGAAAATAAACCGGTGATTCAAGCATGCGGGTCACCGCAGTTAGTCGTATATCGTGCGCGCACGATACAGCACGGAGGTAACAGTCATCGTGGCGCAATTTATCCTTCTTTCTGTCGGTGAACGTACAGCTACTCCACTTTACGCGTCTATGCTTCTCTTGTTCCGAAATTTCCAGCCGACATCTCTCTCTCTCTCTCTCTCTCTCTCTCTCTCTCTCTCTCTCTCTCTCTCTCTCTCTCTCTCTCTCTCTCTCTCTCTCTCTCTCTCTCTCTCTCTCTCTCTCTCTCTCTCTCTCTCTCTCTCTCTCTCTCTCTCTCTCTCTCTCTCTCTCTCTCTCTCTCTCTCTCTCTCTCTCTCTCTCTCTCTCTCTCTCTCTCTCTCTCTCTCTCTCTCTCTCTCTCTCTCTCTCTCTCTCTCTCTCTCTCTCTCTCTCTCTCTCTCTCTCTCTCTCTCTCTCTCTCTCTCTCTCTCTCTCTCTCTCTCTCTCTCTCTCTCTCTCTCTCTCTCTCTCTCTCTCTCTCTCTCTCTCTCTCTCTCTCTCTCTCTCTCTCTCTCTCTCTCTCTCTCTCTCTCTCTCTCTCTCTCTCTCTCTCTCTCTCTCTCTCTCTCTCTCTCTCTCTCTCTCTCTCTCTCTCTCTCTCTCTCTCTCTCTCTCTCTCTCTCTCTCTCTCTCTCTCTCTCTCTCTCTCTCTCTCTCTCTCTCTCTCTCTCTCTCTCTCTCTCTCTCTCTCTCTCTCTCTCTCTCTCTCTCTCTCTCTCTCTCTCTCTCTCTCTCTCTCTCTCTCTCTCTCTCTCTCTCTCTCTCTCTCTCTCTCTCTCTCTCTCTCTCTCTCTCTCTCTCTCTCTCTCTCTCTCTCTCTCTCTCTCTCTCTCTCTCTCTCTCTCTCTCTCTCTCTCTCTCTCTCTCTCTCTCTCTCTCTCTCTCTCTCTCTCTCTCTCTCTCTCTCTCTCTCTCTCTCTCTGTCTGCCTGTCGCTTTTCTGGAGAATACTCTTTTCTACTTTGATACAACGAATGACAATATACTCCAAAAGTAAAACGCGAGCCCATGCTTACCAGATGCACCATATACTGGGTGTATCAAGAATTTATAAAAATTTGTACACCTTTTTTAAGTTAATTTCAAAGTTAATTTCAAGATCAATTTGTTTGATCGATTTTTTTAAAATAAAAGATTCAACGACCTCGTATGAAGTGGCATTATAATAATTTATAATCGAGCAGTTATAAAAGATGGTTCATTATTAAAGCTTTCCGCCCTTATTATGAAGGGTCTCTGAGTATGAAATTAAATATTCTATAGATTATTAAAATGACTCTTTGCATTAAATTACCTAGCTCGCCGTCTTATTTTATGACGAAGGAAGCAGGCAAACATGCATTTTGTTAAGAAAACGAGACAAATCTTCTATCATCGTAAGAAACTATTAATTATAACGTTATTTCGAAGACCACTTATCTTAGTACACTGGGTATATTAATCAAAAGCTGCGTCGTGAAACCTGGCACAACAACAACACACATTCAGAGGAAGTGGCACAGTGCCAAAATTCAGCTGGTGCTCTGGCTTCCTACCAACAAGGGAAAAGCTTTTCGAAGTCCACCCTCAAACTCGTTTCCTACATCCGCAAACATTCATGGAACAGTTTACAATTTAGTCTCCCAATAAGTTACAGAGGACGACGAAGAAATGGATCTGCGTCATTCATTAACATACCGGGCGATGTATTAAGACATGCATCCTAATGACCATATCTCAAATTGAATCCAAACTTTCTCTACATCCATAACATGTATCTTCATATGTAGAAATCACTATAAGTTAAACTTAGCAAAGTTTGCTTGATCCTACATATAAACTAGAAACATTCTCTGAGATAAATCATATATTTATCCTTAACCCCTTAAAAGCAAAGATAAATTATTAATCAAGTTATTAACGACAATAAGTAAAACGAAACACGTTTACGAATAATGCTTTCACCAGTCGTCACATCGATAACATGAAACGTGTGCATGATAATACGGTTGAAGAATCTTGTCACGCAACGATCTAGTTCAGAAGCAGAACGAACTTAACGGACACCGAAGGTAGTCCGTTCTAATGACTCCATCGTTTTGGATTCATCGTTCAAGAACACATGATCGGGCATGACTCTGCATTAGAGCAGCGTCCGAGCAGATCTGCATCGAAATACCAGGCCACGTAGCGACCTCGATCTCGATCTCCACGGACACCCCGTCGTGTGAATGAAGCGTACATACAGGAGAGGAGACCCAGCCCTAAAGAGAGTTCATTGCCGACGAAATTACAGGAGAAATTTTTCTCGGCTCTTCTCTTTACATAACTCGTTGGAGCACAGTATTCTGTTTGAAGTTACTTATCATCCCCACAGTATCTAATCAAAATTTTGTCACGTGACAGATATCGCTAGATTGAACGTTGGTCTGCAGTATAACGACGGTGTTTTCCGCGCACAAGAAACTCTTGCAATTTCATAGTGGACGTAAAATCGTATCTTCATGGATATAGAGGCCTTAAAATCCCATCTTCCAAGTTAACAAGTGTCCTTCACGACAACTCTTCTTGATCGTTATGAAGAATCTCTATACGCCTGATGCTATTGTGAACGATACTCCTAGAAGAACAGCGACCTTCTTTCTCAAAAGGATTAATATTGTACCTCAAGACATATGTTCGACACGTATGTAAATGGGAAGTATAGAAAAGGTTCTGACTTTATCCTTACCAAGAAACGTTTTCCACTTCTCTTTAGGAAAACGGGGCTCTTCCCGAAGAGGCGCGGGTATGTCGAGCTTAACGACACCATTTCCAGAGCCATTTGGTATGCCAGGATGCCGGCTAAGACTGTCGATCTTCTCGTCCTCGTCATCCACGTAATAGTCGGAACCAGATGCCACCCCGGACCACTTATCCTTGCCCTTGGTCGGTGCACCAGGTAATAATGGCTGCCGTTGATAAACGTCGCTCGATTGTGCCATTCCGTTGCTACTTCCATCAACCGTCGCCTCCACGTCCCTCTCGTGGCCCTCTCCGGCGCCCAATGGTCGATCGAAGCTTCCGTAATCACTGTGCAGACTCGTGACCTTGGGGTCCAATACCATCCTGCGAACAGAAAACGCAAGCATCATTGCAATTGCTTGTCGTTCCACGTGCCGATTTACTGAAAGCTCTTTCACGAGGAGTCGAAGGATTCCACGAACGATTCAATTATTTTTATTTTTCGAAAACAAACCAGCAAATCTTGGCAGAGATACAAAGGTTTCCTCTTTCTGGTTTAGTTTCTTTCTATGTTAGTCTGTAAGATGAAAGGTAAGGTTGCAGCAAACGATAGTATGGAATTTTTCGATCGACAATTATATTACGTAACATAGTAAACGATTAACTACCATTAAATTGGTGACTCCTTAAGGTCGTGAAGTTCTTCGAGATTGTTTATGGTAAGTCGAGAATGTTTTCTTTCAATTTTCGGTTTTTTGACCGTGAAATATTTCTTAAATAACGCGTTGTCTCTTCTTTCTCTTATTCTATACGCTAGAAATAGCATAAAAATAGCACACAATAAAGATTTATTTTTAGACTGCGATACTATACCATTTCGTCAGAAAATCTTATTGCCTTTGTTCAACAAAATTGCATTGTTTTAAACAGCACTTATCTACAGAAACCTGGTGTATTTATCGGGCATGCGTTATTAATATATTCTTTATCTTTCAGAGAACCGAAATGAAGCTCCGGCTCGAGATTTTCTAATCGAAGACAGACGTGTACTCGCCTGTGGGGCTTCGTGAAAACCGCTGAACAACTGAACAATTTAATGGCGCCACGGAGAACGATCAGTATCAATCTAAATGCAGATGAACCACGATTATTTATAGACAGCTTGTACACTGAATTCCAAACCGTCCTATATAGGAAACTTTTTCTTTGCCAACTATTCGATCAGGCTAGACATCTCTGTCACAGCTTCCTACCTACTTTTTAACAATCTTTTCACCTACCAAGAAAATTCGTAGCTTGCTCTTTGTAAGCAAAAAATCAGGGCAAGCTGTTTTGTCTGCGTCGCTCGATAAAACGTTCGAGAAGCCCGCGTTTAACCGGATCGTTTGACGCTGTACGATGCAGCCGGTATAACGTTCTACTTTTAGTTATCATCGCGCTGCTGGAGTAAAAGGTTATCGTGTTAAGGATACGTGTCGACGTGGCTTGCTTTAAAAGCAACCGAGCCAACCAGGCTTTGAAATCCTGGGATGGGCGAGGCCAACCAGATATCCGGACAGGAAGTTTGCGGGAAGTGCAAAGACGTTCCGCTGATAGTACTTAGCGTCCGTGATGATGGACGGAAATGTTAACCGTTACTAGCATAACATAGCAATTTGTTAGAGGAATACAGTAGCTCATGAAGGTATATATGTATTTGCATACTCGTAGAAACCTTTCCGAATACATTATGTGCGTTGTATAACACAAATTTTTTGATATATGACACGATATCACGTTTCTATCGAAGTATTTGAAGTATCAATACGGTTATCATTTTTATATTGTTGAAATTTAGCACAATTTGATGTTGTATAGCGTACGATATGATAAGACTATCACGGTCATGATAAAGACCCAAACAAAAATGTTGAGTTTGAAGATTGAGGAGTTAAGGAAATGTTCCATGAAAATGTATAAGAGCAATAAGATATTTGTTAGAAACATAGTACGTACAACATTGATGAGCCTCAATATTTAATACGACCATTGTTTTATGGATTTATATCCATTTTTTTAACAAGTATATATTAGTAGTAAATGTTTTCTAAGTTTCATATACGCTTCCAGGTTGATTTCAAATTCTGTCAGTATAATCATGATAGTACTAATGAAATGATACGTTTTGTATAATACACATAATACATCGTTCAAATATTTCGTGAGTCACTGTATGCAGAAGAATAACACATTGTAATACGAAATAAGAAGAGAGTACAAAATGAAAGAATGAGACAGGAGGTATGTACAAATTTCTCTGGCAATTTAACTTTATAATTTATAATTTCGAACGTTAATCGTTCGACTCGGTAGTAAATTCTTCCGAAAATTATTTCAAGACGGATCTATTATCTGATAATTCGAGTTTAATTAACTCCAAGCCAGGAGATTCTGCTCGTCGACAAGTAATGTGAATCATAGTTAATTACTGATTTATCTTTCGAAAAGGCGAGAACTCGTTCGAAAATGCTATCCCTCCTGGTGGCTCACTTTTTCTCATCTTTTTCTGCGTCCGAAAGATCCTTTGCTGTTCGTGACGAGGCGTAAAACGATGCGAACGAAGAAAAGCTGATCCGTGGGTGGCACCGACCGATAAGGTGATTTCTTGTAGGCGGATCTCGCGTTCTGCGCGCTGAATAAAGCGATAAATCCTGCGCAGATAATTCGATGGCTGTTCGAACGACATGAAAGCCAGCGGTACTTTATACCGTTTGATAAGACGAGAAATTACGTATCAATGCCAAAATAGCACAGTAAACTGAATTATCATAGAATATTATTTTCAATGTGTACGTCCATAAGAAGTAATACCAGCTAACAACCAACATTTATGTAACTTCCTGCGGATGTGTGAGAATCTCCAGAGTCTCGGTAAACGTTCAAATGGTACATTATTTTTTATCTTACTTATTTGTCAAATTACTCTTAGTGATTGGTCGTTTGTAACATCGATAAAATCTTTTTTTACTACGCTTGTGAAATTAACGGCGATTAGGATCGTAGGCGGCAATTTATTAACAACAACCTCTAGAGGCACGAAGAAGGAGAAATTCCAGAAACAATATCCCGACTTTTATGTGACCGTTCGCAGAGGAGCTCAGGACTTAACCTCCGTAACCCGATAAGCGCCCAAATGAGACCTTTACGACGTCACGTCGTTCCAAACCAACGACCCTTTTGACCCAACTGGAGTTACTCTATCGACGAGTTGCTTCACCACGTGGCAACCAAACTTCTCGTAACATTCGCCACGAGTGCCTCATGCTATTCGCGATAATCTCCACTTTATCTTCGTATTCCCTATCGGAAGATCTGGCATGAGATAAAGAGGAATCTGGAAAATTATTGGACCTAGATTCGAATCTCCATCCATCCCATTTATCATTTCTTGAATAGCCACTCCAACCTAGGTAGATATTGAAACTCTTCCACTTTATCTTTGGAACTTCCGATCGCATAAATTTTCTTAGATAACGTTGGATACAAAAAAAAGAAAAACGACGTGAAATGACTCACGCGTTCATTTAAAATTTAGACGACATTTTTTTTACGACATTTTTTTACGACAACGACAAAAACTAGTAAGTTCAAAATGTCGAGAATGGTCAATGGTCGAAATCAATTTAAGTGAATGAGTAATATACAAATGAATGTTTAACTACAGAAACAATCACTAAAAAATGGTATATAATGAGATTCTTCGTAGGTAACTTTGAATAGTTGCGAATATCCGGAATTTCTGTAAATAGTAAACGTAGTACGCTGCGAAAATTCAATTTATAACAATTTAGATATCGATCGCATAACAAGTGCTTTCTTTCTCCATAGTTTTACGACATAAATGCTTCCAGGATTCCACAAATCCATAGGTCTCGATCAACTTAACTTGTATATGAGTCACATCCAAAAAATCTCAATAATCTACAAGACATCCATGTTGAGATCGAATGAAATAACGAACAGGTCTACCTCGACATCGAATCTTGTTGAATTAATCTCGATATCCTTGCTCGTTCCTATCGCGTTCTCTTTCACGAATGGCACCTTGGTTTTCGCGAAGGCCGCTCCGAATAACTGGTTACTAAGCGTGGATAGAAATATTCTTGATCGAGCAACACGCGAAAAAGCATGCGTCAATTCATTTCTGCTTCGCGATCGTGGGCGTTGCGTTCCGATTCAAAGCTTTCCCAACTTTTTTTCTCCTTCTTCCTTTTTAGTTTCTCTCTCGAACTGCTCTTAGCGATCGAAAGACTAAAAACACCGACAAGGATGCTCGACCGGGATCTCCTCGATTACTTCCTGCTCGAATGCCTGTATCGAAGCTCGTCGGAAACTGGGTCATTTTTTGCCTCCGTTGTCGACCGTTCGCATAAATTACACCAACTCGCGAGTAGTGAAAAATATGTCACGTTACGCCGAGGAACCGACTGCCGTCTTAATATACGAGGTGAGCGATAATTCGTAGCGCAGATACAATGGAACTCCCTTTGTAAGAACGAAACTTTAGTTAGCGCCCGATCAATCGATTCTGTGCACTTTCTGCACTTTCTTCTTTCCCAACAGTTTAAAAACACAAGCATAATGAATTTCGAAGAATACACAGTTTAAAAAGAAACTGATAATACACGTGGACTTGACTCATATCACTGATATCACGCAGTGTATTATTTCTGCCGCTGTTTATATATATGTTTCTTTTTGTATAGATAAAATGGTTTATACAGTGTTAGAGCTTATTTGTCGAGCTATTTGTTCGAAATGTTGACTATTGATATTAGAATAGATGATTCGTTATCATCACCTATTCTTATTGTATTCACCGAAAAAGTAATTACTAGATAAATATTGATAGCAAATAAGCCTTATATTTGAAGTGGCAATCTATAATCAAATTCCAAACGTCAATTATCGATGAGGTGTATTCGATTGACTTTCAAATGCATCTTTCTCCGAAAGAACCTTCAATGCAATTCTGTTATTCTCTGCTTTTGCCTTATTTTCGGCCATAGAATCTTCCTCACTCCACTTATACCACGATTTATGGACGATGATATATAAACCGGTGCGCAGTGCAGTTCCGGTTACAACGGAGAAATCTTTGATGTCTAAAAAAGAAAAAAGAAGAAGGGATTCGCCTCACGTCGAGTGAAATATAACAAAGTATTCCGAATAAGTTGACTCCGTTGACTTCCGGTGCTTCAAGTCCCGTACACACAAAGCATGCTTCAAAATTATGTAGATTATAAATGACCCAATTCCCATCTCGCAGATTGTACTCGCAACTGTTGCCGTCCTTCGACGATTAATCTACTTCTGTCATGCAAGTGTAACTCGCGGAAAATGCTATTTTCCGTTTGTCGAATAAAGAAGCAAATAAAATGATAAATGCGTCAGGGATTCTAAATTATGCAGAGAAATACGAATCTTCGTACAATCTACAGTATCGTTTCAAAAACGTGAGAATTTATTTTTTGTAGGCTGCACAGCGTTAGGTCTACTGTGCTTTCATGCGCGTTCTTTCGATTTTCCGACCGCGTGCGTAAGTATTTAAATTTAGTTCCCGCTGCTATACGGCGAGTCATTGTTTATCGGCTGACGAAAACGTAAGAAGATTAGTCAAGTTTAGCCGAGACACCATGTATATATTTCCTGTTATCGCCGTCACGTTAGTTCATTCAGAGTCGTATTGCTAAAAAACGATTACGTGAAAAACATTGTCGCGGTGTTTTAAAAATATTATGTACAAGATTACCATCATAACTGCTTTTAAATATGCGAACTATCGGTTATGAGTGTTTCTTCTAAGAAAGATAATACATAATTAGCATTCTAGCGTTTCATTAAATTTGTTTAGCTTACAAACTTTTATCGACGACTTAGGCGATTAACATCTTAGTGGACAATTAAAGAAAACGCCGAAATTAACTGTGACATGAACATTTTTTTGATTTTAACAACAGTACGACTTTCACCGTCATTCGTAACTATTAAATACTTTGACTATTAAAGACACAATTTTGATGAATTTGACAGATGACTTTGAATGTTAATAATGACCAGCGTAATCCTCGTAACCTTCAGAAGATTTTACGCGCCAGGTACGCAACAATGACATAATCTTTATGGCCCTCGTGATCTTCGAGCGACCTTCGATCATCTCGACGATCTCGTAATGCTGCGTCCGAAAATTTTACAAAACAAAAGGGATACCTTTGTTCTAACGGAAAACATATTGACACAAAAATCACCGGAAATATGTCGTCTTGTTTTCACGACGATTACTTATAATCTAAATTATTGCCAAAACACACCGCAACAAACAAAATTATACCGCTTCCACCTTTTTATGACACACTTTTCCTTTGACAAAGAACCCTGTAATATAATAATATCAGCTTTAATAAGCTTTAAAAAAATATAGGTTAATCAATAATTTAGTATATGTTCCATTTACGTACAATGATATTCTATGTGCCAGTAAACCTGAGTGGTGCCAGAAGAATTATCGCAATCCAACGATTTTCCTAAAAGTTGTTTTGGTACATATCGTACTACTAATCTCCAAAGGATTGAAATGAAGAAAAGAATAAGAACGAATCACACGAACAACTAATTTCCCTGTAGTAATTAAATTAATCACCCCGTAACGAGAGCAATAGTTCGATCAGTAGATGCCGCGAATAACACGATGACGCATGGTTATAATTAACGATGAGCGCGGGAACGACAAAGAAATTATTGTCCGCCGATGGGAGGCTTCCCAAGTTTGCAGTTCGTATTAGGGTTAAACCTGTCAGCCGATGAATTCGTATGATTGCATTTAGCAAATCGCAGGAGCAAAATAGATCGAAGTAAACCAGCCGGCCC